ACACCTGAAGGGTTCTACATCATGTCAGTGAAGGTAACACACACACACACACGCACACACCTGTGACACGCCTGAAGGGTTCTACATCATGTCAGTGAAGGTAACACACACACACACACACACCTGTGACACACCTGAAGGGTTCTACATCATGTCAGTGAAGGTAAACACACACACACACACACACACACACACACACCTGTGAAACACCTGAAGGGTTCTACATCATGTCAGTGAAGGTAACTCACACACACACCTGAAGGTTTCTATATGATGTCAGTGAAGTTAAAACGCACGCACGCACACACACACACACACACACACACACACACCTGTGACACACCTGAAGGGTTCTACATCATGTCAGTGAAGGTAACACACACACACACACACACACCTGTGACACACCTGAAGGGTTCTACATCATGTCAGTGAAGGTAACACACACACACACAAACACACACAAACACACATCTGTGACACACCTGAAGGGTTCTACATCATGTCAGTGAAGGTAACACACACACACACACCTGTGAAACACCTGAAGGGTTCTACATCATGTCAGTGAAGGTAACACACACACACAAACACACACCTGTGACACACCTGAAGGGTTCTACATCATGTCAGTGAAGGTAACACACACACACACACCTGTGAAACACCTAAAGGGTTCTACATCATGTCAGTGAAGGTAACACACACACACACAAACACACACCTGTGACACACCTGAAGGGTTCTACATCATGTCAGTGAAGGTAACACACACACACACACCTGTGACACGCCTGAAGGGTTCTACATCATGTCAGTGAAGGTAACACACACACACACACACACCTGAAGGGTTCTACATCATGTCAGTGAAGGTAACACACACACACACACCTGTGACACACCTGAAGGGTTCTACATCATGTCAGTGAAGGTAACACACACACACACACACACACACACACCTGTGAAACACCTGAAGGGTTCTACATCATGTCAGTGAAGGTAACTCACACACACACCTGAAGGTTTCTATATGATGTCAGTGAAGTTAAAACGCACGCACGCACACACACACACGTAACACACCTAAATGATTCCACATCATGTCAGTTAAGGTAACACACACACACCTGAAGGTTTCTATATCCTGTCAGTGAAGATAACACACCTGTACACACACCTAAATGATTCCACATCATGTAATTGAAGGTAACACACACACCTAAAGGATTCTACATCATTGAAAGTAACACACCCCTAACAGATTGTATATCATGTCAGTGAAGGCCACACACTCACCTATAACACACCTGTGACACACCTGAGGGATTCCACATCGTGTCAACTTGGATTTTAGAAAGCAGAGTTTTGTTGGTTGGATATGAATTTTTATGGTTGCTTAGTAACTGTGAATAACTGTTTCTGATTGGAAAGAGAAATGACAGTTAATAGAGGTTTATAAACTTCAAGAACTGTTAATAAAAGTCGCTACATTTAAACTGTTTACAACCATTAGTCAGACTTATTAACTGTTTACTATTCACGTCTGTGTAAACACACTCAGAACCGTTTATAACAGAAAAGAGGATTTAACAAAGTCCTGTAATGGCTAACCTTGACTTTCATGAACTGAGTGTTATAATGTTTGGTTCTATTGTAGTGCAGATTTATCTTTCAAAATGTCTTCGATCAGAAAAAGGGAGAATATCTCAAACTTGTTAAGAGTTCAATAAATCTTCGGTTAGTTTTTTTTAAATCGTCTCTAAATTTGCAATCGTCTTGGGCGTCAGTGTGTTTACGTAGCAGCAATTCTTTAAACCCTAAAAAGTTTGACTTGTTTTTGTGTTTTTAAATTGTTATGCTACTCTGAAACGTCCTGCACTCGTACTGTATTGATGTAAGTTTCCACTTTAGTTTAGAGTAAAGCAATGATGTCACAATCAACTCTGTGTGTCTCCTGCAGGCCATGAGGTTTCCTCCCAAAGCTTACAACAAAGACCTGGAGTCAGCAGAGGTAAAACATGCACACCTGTAACATCATCACTTTTAAACATTCATAAAACAGCTTATTCAGTTCTAACATGTCGGCATTTCTGCGTTTGTGGTGCGTTCAGGAGCGTAGGGAAAGAGAGCAGCAGGATCTGGAGTTTGCTAAAGAAATGGCAGAAGATGATGACGACAGTTTCCCGTGAGACTCTCGGCCGACTTCCTGTGCAGACAGGATGTGAATCTGTGTGTCTGCACGCTGATATTAAACAGTTATTACCCACAATCCCCTTCTCCCCTCGCTTCTTTCTCTCTGCTGTGTATTCCTGCTGTAACTTCTGTTCTCTGCAGCCGCTGTTTGTTGTTTCTCTCACTCGAATAAAAGACACATTGGTTTTGTTTACATGTTGTTGTCTGTGGTTTTCTGGGTAATGTAGTCTGATCTGACCGTCTGTCACGCATCACATAATTTTTTCCTGTTTTTATTCAACTTACATGATAATTAAAAACATTTGCATTATTTTCTGAATGAAGAATATCAATAATACCTCACCATTTCATTAATGAGTGTCCTCATTCTGAACAGAAACAGAAACAGACCCTTAGGCTGAAGCTCAAGTTCAGAATGTTTAAAAACATTAAAATCGCTGTTTTGAATTTATGATTGTGTTTAAATGAAACGAGGTCAGTTTGAAAAGTACAGATTTACACAAGTTGTAAACAATGGGAGCAGCTGTGGCCTAGTTGTAGAGACTGTTGTCTCTCAATCGGAAGGGTGGGGGTTTGATCCCCAGCTCCTGCAGCAACACGTCCGATGTGTCCTTGGGCAAGAAGACACTTAACTCTGAACGGCTGCTGCTTCGTCGGCGGCTTATGAATGGGGTTAGTTACTTATGATGGTCATTACACAGAGCAACCTCTGCCATCAGTGTGTGAATGTGTAGGTGTGACGTGGTGTGAAAGCGCTCTGAGTAGTCAGAAGAGTAAAAAAGCCCTAAACAAGCTCGAGTCCATTTAACATTTACATGTCAGATGAGTCCTTCTGCAAGACACTTGACCCCGAATTGTTCCGCTGCTTCGATGCCGTGTGAATGGATTAGTTAATCACTGATGGACACCTTACATAGCAGCCTCTGCAATCAGAGGCACCGCGGTGTAAAAGTGTTTTAAGTAGTTAGGAGACGAGAAAAAGCGCCATTTACCGTTTCAAAACTGAACCTGAAAAACTTGTTCTCAGCCTCACTCACCTCATTTTTAAACATTCACCTCAGAATGCCGAGGGAGAAAATAGGAGAGCATATTTTTACGAGGAAAAAAAAACCCTGGCCTGCTGAAATAATCTTTTCAGTTCTTCGAATTTCATCCAAAGGTGATAAAATGAATGGGATGTGCTGAAAGGAAATAAAAAAAGAAATCCATGAAAGGAAAAAAAAAAAAAAAACACTTTCTGGAAACAAATACGACAAACTCTAAGAAACAGAATCTGAATATGTGGCAAGCTGGAGCTGGCGTCCATTTTTACTGAAGATACTTGAAATAAACTAAATAAATCATAACTGTCCTGTCAGTTTCCCAGCAGCCTCTTGAGTCTGAACTGTCCCAGCTGACTTGTTTCATAATCCTTACAGGAGTCAGCCATCTGATTTCTCCCCCCGGGCTAGAGACTTATTTATTCAGAAGTCCAGTGTACCAACTGTTCTCTCACCATAACGTCACCTCACTTAAAAAGGCTGCTTTAATCTCCAGATGAGTTTGATGTGAATGACATTTCCTGTGAAAGGACATTTACACAATTTACCATTCAACTTTCAATGCATCGGACATTTCCTGGAATGAAACACTCATGGGTGGAAAAATCAAATACTTTGGGAAAGTTGAACCAGTGTGATTCAAGTCATACTCTAAACATATATTTTACAACAACACGTGTTAACATCCCACGTACTTCTTTTGGTCAACGTCTACCTTGAGCATTCAAACACTTCCTCGCTAATATTAAAGTCTGATTAAAAGTAGGATTAGGAATGAACTATCTTAGAAAGCAATAAGCCACGGCAGGGTTAGCAGGTCAGTGAGCTATGCAAACACTTTTATTTTGACAAAAGCTTCCCAGTAAGCATGATGATAGAAAACAACAATCAATTCTTGAGCTAACTGAAAGCTACTAATGAATAATAAAGCATTTTACTGTTTTTAAGATGTGACACCAACAAACAATATTACATGCTGGGACTTTAGCTGCTGTCTACGCTAGGTAATGGGTTATGAAATATTTTTGTTTTAACCTGAAATATTGCACACTTTTCCAACAGATATTCACTATCCATTGGTGTTTAGTTTCTGACAAATTGAAAGCAGTGAAATGAGAACTATTGTCAGGTTCCTTTAGGGCAGCGGTTGGACCCATAGTGTGCGCGCCATAAGTCATAGCCTAAATGAACGGTGTGTATTAATGCAGGACTTTTAATCGTATTTCTTCACTGTGGTATTCCCACTTTTACCACAGTAGTCAACACAAAAGGCCTAAGTACTTTTCCTCTCCACTGCAGATTTTAATTCCTCCAGGAAGTATGGGCTGAATCAACTGAAACACGTTTGAATTATCTGCTGACTCACAAATGTGTCCAGGATTTCTTAAAAAGACATGATGACACACAGGAAGTAACTAAAGCGGAATAATAAAACACACACACATAAACACACACACTCCTTCAGTGAACAACACATTTTTTTCAGCTTCCTGAACCAAAAGGCTTCTTCCTCCACCACTGTAGGATTTTATTTAATAAGCCCCATACTATTCCTGCTTATAATAATAATAATAATAATAATAATATTAATAGTTATAATTATAATGACCTGTACGTTTTGGATAGCCCATTTAATAAACTGTAAAAATGTAATTGAGATGTTTCATATTTATAACAGAAGCAGCTTCATGAAGCCTAATGAACAGGATGTAAGGTAGAAATGAAGGTGTGGTCACGTGACTTACCGGTCGCAGGTAAGACCCCGCTGCACTTTTCCGAGAGTCTGATTCATACGGACCTCTCTGCTCATCGCTTACGGTTGTGACGTATCTCACGGTCATGACGTAAAAAGTTTTCGCAAGCTTCCTCACTTGGGACTTTAGGGATGACGGATGTCGTTGATGGAAAACCCCTCAAGACGGAGAGAAGATAAAAAGAGCAAACCGCTGCAAATGGAACCTGAAACAGAAATTACCGAGTTCACCGGCGGACAGATACCCACATCGAGACACCGACAGCCGCCCTGACAGACATGAACACCTTCATAGGTAAGAACTCACTTTGAATGTCACAGGAACTAATAAAGCAGCTTAAGTCCTGCAAAGTATGTATGAATTCTGGTTGAAAATATTTCTTTTATTACATTTGAAAATGTGCCTCAAATTTCAATATTATCTAACATCGGCTCATATTCTGCGCCGCAGACTGTGGAGCAAAGACACACCTTTCACTCATGTATGAGGAGTATCTAGTGCCACACGCAATGGGTGTATGGAGGCTTATTCATTCTAAAACTTCAAATCTGGTTTGTTCACAAACTGAGTTTTAGGTCGGGGTTGTTTCTGCAGTAAATGTTCAATGATGAATTTGGATTTTCTTAGGATTTATTCAGCCGTGGTCAGACAACACAGCAACAGAACACACATGGATGATAAAGTTTTCATGTAAACAGTGTTGCTTAAATTCTGTTAGAAAAGGTACAGCCTACAAATTCCTTTCCAGTTTGGTGAGACTTCCAATAGGCTGTAAAGAAAACATGATCTGTACATTTTAGACTTTTCAGCTCGCAACATACACATACACCAATCCAAATATAACTGCTGCTATGAGATGTCTTATGTGTATTACAGCTTCACAGACCTATAACAAGAATTACGTTAAGATGGTTGACAGATTTAAATGAAATATCCAGAAAATTACCAAGATTAAGGAATTCATGAAAATGTGTACAAACACTGAGCTAAAATGATTTGTTAATTGATTAGTCAATGTGTTAATTGATTAATCATTTAGGTAGCCTTTTTATTAAGTCACATTATCCTGTATTTTCTATCTAGTGCCGTCCACAGGTCAACATGGGAATTTGCCTACTTTATAGACTGCTTTCCGTTATACCTGTCATTGGTTTTTCCACACAATTCTTTCCATTTATTCTATGCATGTGACAAAATGCAACACCTCCTGTTTGAGTTTGTCAGAGCAAATTACAGCTGTTTCTACTTCACATGTAATGTTGTCCTGTGTTTAAAATATGAAACAGCAGATTTAAATTCTTCATGTTTACATTCACCTTCTGTTGTTTTATGTTTAGTGTCTATTAATAGATGTCGCTGCTTTGTCATTCATTACAAAAAGTGATGAGAATACCCAGTTTTTCAATTATGAAATATAAATTATATATGTTTTTCTTGTATGTACTTGTAGAAGTTCCAAGAGTCATTGATGTGTTTAGAAGACTATTTTAAACATTAAAAGATTCCAGGGAATGGACTCAACCATGTGTAAACATGCTTAGAACAAATCTCATATATCCGTTATTCCTGCAGACTGCAGCTGTACTGTGTTCTCTGCCAATAAGATAGTGTTGGCATGTTAAAACCAAGCAGCAACCTTCAGTGTAATTCCAAGTAACAATTCCAAGTAAAAGTCTGTGTAATAGGATTTGATTGTCAATCATGTCAAATGCAGCACTAAGATCTGACAGGACGAGCACAGAGAGAAGTCCCCTGTAAGCTTACAGCACCTGGTATTCCCAGGCGGTCTCCAATCCAAGTACAAACAATGCCCGACCCTGCTTAGTTTCCGACATCGGGCGTGTTCGGGGTTGTATGGCCATAAGCGAAGCAGGTTATTAGGTTGAATGGGGAAACTTAGGCTTTACAAAAGGTTTCTGTTACAAGAGAAAATCTTATGTTCGATAAAAAAAACCTGACTGTTATTGTTTTACATTTATTTTATTAACTCTATGTACACAGAACTGTTACTTAACAATCATTCTGTTTTTCTCTCCAGTTATTGCCATTCTGCAACACTTCCTGTTTGCAGTTTTGGTTCAATCAGCTCCTATCAGTTCGCCGTCTGACCTGCCGCCAGCATTCAGAGAAGCAGCCGAGCGAGCGAAAACACTGGTGGACAAAATACTCAGTGACATCCCCACCGTGCACACAACTACTGTTAACGCTGAGGTGGGAGAGCTGGTCTGCTGCACTCTGATTGGCTGTTCTTCTTCTTCCCTTGTTCTTAATGTTTTGTTTTGTTTCCTTCAGGGTTTGACGCTTGACCCCTCCACCCAGATAGCAAACCTGCAGATGATGATGACAACACTGGGCATCCCCGTCGCACCCGTCCTCAAACCGCTGTCTGAGCGGTTCACACTGGTCAGTCTGCATTCTGGGGGTGTTTAAGTGTGGGGGGGGGGGGGCAGATGGTTTCTTAAAGTCCTTTATGATGCTTCTCTGTTTATTTAGGTGGTTCTTAAAGTTCAGAGGGTTTCTACTGGTCCCACAGGGGGTCTAAAGTGATGATTCAGTCAGTGACATTAAAGGGCCCATATTGTGTTTTCCATGTGTCCTGTGCATGTTTAGACACATCTATGTGCAAAAATAATTTTTTTAAAAAAAATTTGGGGACTCTGAACGTGGGCACTTCAGAGCCTTAGAGAGAGAGTCAGAAGCGAGCCGGTGCATGGAGCGGCAGTTCATGAAAACAGACACTTTTTTCAAACTTTAGCAATTGTGAACATACTTTAGTAGGTACATAGATTAAATATATGAACCCCAAAAAGGGCAGAATATGACCTCTTTAAGGAGGCTGTAGTGGGTCATTAAAAACCCTGTGGGGGGGTTGACTACCTGCTTGACCTCATTACCCTAGTCCTTTGATATTGACAAGGTTTTTAGGTGACAACAGGGTTCATCGCTTTATCTGAAGATTTTAGAGGCCCTTTAGGTAGTTCCTATGCCAGGGCGTTCATTTAGTCAATTATACATTTTTAGATTATCTTAATTTACCCTGTAGTAAGTGGATCTCCGGAAACACAGTTTGCAGAGGATGGGATTCTTATGTGGCTGCGAGGTTTAAGGGGTTCTTCAGATGTTTTTTGGATGGATGTTTTTTCGCCAAGGGGTTTATCCAGTCTTCTAGGAAAGTCGCCAAGATCGCCAAGATCTTGACGACTTTCCCAGGTAATCATAAGACTCTGATGGTTGTTAAGAAGGATGTAGAGGTTTTGAAGAGTTTTTTTGTTGGTGGTGTTTGTACCAAGGGGTTCATGCAGTCCTTTACGAAGGTCTATTGAATGGTGGACTACCAGCTGAGCCCCTGACACTGGATCTTGATGTGTTCTTTGATGATCCATGGCTTCTAATTGTCCTTAATGTGGATCTGAAGTTTTGTGAGGTTTTGATGGTCCCGTAGAGAGTTCTTTGTGTGCCAAAGTGATTGATTCAGTGTTTAGGAGGATCAAGTGGATCTTAATTAACTGGGGAGGGGTTGAGCCACTGGTGGACAACCAGGCTCAGAGGATGACAATGACATGGAGGAGGACTGATAACGTTAATTCTAGTAGTTGAAGTAGGCAGCTCTTACATTCACATCAACAATTGTGACAATGATAATAGACACAATCTGACATAAGACTCATAGTTATTTATGTAGCAGTTGGAGTGCAGACATGGCCACAGCAGCAGGCCATCTGCATTCCTAACGTTCTTCAGGAAGTTCTTCAATGATGTTTCTGATCTCATCTTGAGGTTGTTTCCTGCAAATAACTAACTTTGTGTCACCCCTATAGGAGATCTGTGTAAACCGCATGTCAGCGGGCACCAAACTGTACCAGGGGCTCCTGGGAGTTTTGTCTAACAAACTGAGTGGACTGAGCGACCTGAAAGCCGACCTCAGAGACCTGCTGACACACATCAACAAGGTACCACACAGCCCTGACATGCTAACACTGCACTACCTGTTCCGTTGTGCTTCACTGTAAATGACAGCTGACTCTGTGTTTCTGTGTTTGTCTTAGATGAAGGAGGTGGCTCAGCTTGGCAGCAGTGGCGCGGATGATCAGGACCACAGTCCAGACCTGGCCTTTAGTCCCCATGGTGACTATGATGTCCAGGTGGCAGTCCACCTTACACTGACACAACTTCGTTCCTTCTGTCATGATCTGATCCGAAGCCTGAGAGCTGTTGCCTCTTATAGGCCACGAGCAACAGGAGCACGCTAAGCCCAACCTGAGCGGACCCCAATATGTTTTCAAGGATACTGGGAAAAAGTCTGATGAGTTGGATAGAGAGACCTCCGATATGTCTTCCTGCAGTGCCTCATGAGAAATCTTTATTTCTTATCAATCAGGGAATGACGGTCAAAGACAATCACTGGATTCTTCTCTTTGAGCTACCATATACCATCTGATGTAAACAAACTTAAGACTGCTGCAGCATTCTGTTCTCAAAGCTGACAGACGTCACCACTTCTTCTTCTGACGAACTCAGCAATTCAGATATTTATTATTTCATTCTCCCCAAGTGAACCATCTTTCCAAAGGAAAAGATTCTGCTGCTTCATTTTCAAATCTGTTTATTTATTTATTTATACATTTTGAAGTGTTTCTCAGGGTCTCACTACTTGGTCAGACGGGATGCAGTAATGCAGAACTATCCAGAACAACTTTGCGTTTCCAGCTTGTCTGTCATCTAAAGGATCAGAGCTCTGCCTCATCTGGCCAAAAAAACAATGAGCAGGAATGTGAACGAGTTTAAAAACCTTCCACTACTGCAGAGACGATTTTGACAGATCAGAGATGTGCAGGTCTAAACCTGCTCAGCTCCTGAAACCTGCAGCTCTTTCTGACTCTTGTTTTCTTTTTTGTCTGCAGCATTTTTGGAAGTTATGAAGATGCATGTCAATACAGAAAGAAAAGAGATTCCATCTGAAGTTTTAAAGCAAAACAGTGACGCAAGCAGAAAGTCAAACTTATATTTTTCACGTTTATTTCAACCATAGAATTCTAAAACATTCAGCATTACACAAACAAAAATAATTTTAACTAGAGAAATCTGTCAACAACACAATTGTTAAATGTTTCACACATTGAGATTTAAAGGATTTAGTGTCCAGATGAAAACAGGTTATTGATATATTTTTTGAACTGATATTTATTTATTATTTATGCTTGAATATTTATTGATGACTGTTTTTTTATTGTGTGAATGTTGTTTTTATAAAGTGTGGTTGTTATGTAACATGAGGGGAGGTCGGGGGAACACTGACGTGACCAAAGAGAGGTTTAAAACAAACAAAGGAGAGAGGGAGAATTTGAGTCACTACTGGAGTGAAACGTTTCTTAGGTTGAGGAACAATTGAGATGATGTCAGAGAAGACTCAGTCATGAATGCATTTTTAAACATTAAGTTATTTATTTATATTTATTTCAAGGGTGAAACTGAATGTGTGTTGAAGACTCCAAATGAACCAATTAATTTATTTTTATTTATGAAGAAACACATTTTTCTGTGTGGTATGCTTTGTTGATGTTGAATTTTACATCATAAGTGCTAACAGCAAATCAGATCTTTTTGTAGAGTATTTTATTGAAAATAAAGTTTTTGTAAACTCAATTTCCTTTTCTATTGCTGCTGTTTCTTGTCCATTCCGGTTCCCCGGTGTGTTCCTTTCAGCTTAAAAAGCCCCCGATGAGAATGCACGATTTAAACGCGCAAATTGAAATAACAATTAAAACTGTGGAGATTTTCTGATGTAGTTTTCGGATTCATTCTTATTTTTCCACTTAACTGTGAATCTTTGATTTAATTACCCTGTTTAATAATTTCAGGCGCTCAAAAAACATTAAAAATCAATCCTGTATTGTTTCCTTTAACTCCTCAAAAACAAAAGTGAAAGTATTTCATAACAATATAGGCACGGTTCTCAGACTTAATTTAATCCATCTAAATGTATATTGTGGCCCAATTTATCTGTCTGAAATGTCCAGTTTACCATTCTGATGGTCAGTGTGACCATTGACCATTACCAGTCCTTCTGCCAAAACAACAACAAGAAAAACCACACCGTAACCACACTTTTGCTCCACTTTCATTTATTCGAAAAATACAGAAAGTTTGTCACAGCTCGTTGTGGGCGTGGCCATGGGGGGGAGGGGTAGAGCCTTCATAGTAGGCAGGCTTCAGGCAAAACCTGCTCACCACATCACAGATCAAACTGACAATGTGTCATGGTACTTTTAATGGAAGCAAAGAAAGGACATAAAATATGTTATTATTAGCATTTGAAAACCCCAGCTGTGAAAATACACAAACATACATTTTATAGCAATGAAATATTTCACCATAAAAGAGTGGTTTGCTCTCCTCCCCCACTGCTGTCATGTGTCTCCTTCTGGTGGTCCTCACCCTGGATTTCTTGTTTCCTCCCCAGGTTGCCCTGTGTCTGCCCCTTGTTGTCCACTCTCCCTTTCCATTGTTGTCATTTTACTCCCCCTGGTTGTCCTCCTACCTGGCTGTCTCAACTTGCTGTCCTCAAGTACCTGTCCTCTCTTCTCCTTCTTTGCTGTCTCCGTCAATTGTTTTGTGTCTCCTTCTGGTTATCTTCTGTCCTACCCCCTAGTTGTCCTCGCATCTGGCTGTCTCCCCTTGGTTCTCCTGTCTCCTTCCCCTTGGCTTTCCTCTCCCCTGCCTCTGGGGGTTTCCCTCTGGTGGCTCCCCCTGACGGTTGGGGTCAGTTCCTGTGCTGTTCCTGGTCTTTCCTTCGCTGTTTTTCTTTCTGTTTCTCCATCTTGTCCAGAGCTTTTCTTTCCTTGTCAACTGCACTTAGAATTTCTTTGATGCGGCGCTTTAGAGCACTGCGATCAGTGGAACTGAGCACGCCCAGACCCTGCAGAGGAGGGAGACAGAGCTTTGAAATGAAATACATGAAATACAAGAGGTAATGTTGGTATTATGCATCGTGGCAGAGATCGAAAGGATCAGTGAGCATGATCTGGACTAGAGGTTCAAATTTTAAAATAAGTAACGAAGCTCTGAGGTGCTGATTCATAATTATAATATAAGTAAAAATGTCATGAATGAATGGAAGCTGGCATGCTCGTTGCATATCGGGTAACACCTGCTCTGTGGGGGTATGATTTGCAGAAAAAAAGCAAACAACGGACCAGCTTATCTCCAAGCAGTAGTGGAGTGGTCTCTGAGGTAGTTCACATGCTCTCTTGTGTGGAAGAGGTTAAAGTCGGAAAGAAAAGAAAAGCGGAAAAAGCCGATGCGTTTCAGCCTAGTTGCCTTCATCAGGGTGTTAAGAGTACTGCAGAGGTGTACTGGGATAGAAATAGATAGGTGGCATCACCTAATGTGACATAACATCTTGCCACCGCCTCTGAGACCGCTTCACTACTGCTTGGCGGTGAAATGATCCATTCTTTTCTGCTGAGCAAAATTTGTATTTCTTTTTCAAAAAACAAATGATGAGTAA